CCTCTAGTAATATATTTACTGAGAAAAATGGTGACGTGTTCAATACTTATTTTACCCGCTGTATATTACTGTACCATAATATTCAAATGATAAAATGATGAGACAAAGAAAAGCTCTCCTAACAAGTCAAAAGATTATGAATACCAAGTTAGAAACAGAGATGAAACCTGACATGCAGGAGCAGCTGGTTCCATAATTAATAAAGGGATGGATGTTTAGAAACTTTCGCACAGTTCTGTAATAAAGTGTTTACATTCTGTTACTGTTTATCCAGAGSCAAGCCAAATTCTCTGGGGCTTTAAATTAAAAAATTGGCACATTTGAACTAGGGATGTCTGATAATATTGACCTACCTTATCGGTCTYATATCAGCATAAAAATGTAAATTTTCTACATATCAGTATCGTATTTTTTTCTGATAACAAAAGCCAGATAAATTAACGCCTGGATTTGACCAAAAATGTGTTAATAAATGSTRGTGGTCCAGAGACGTTCACTGGTGCYCGATTGATGACATCAACAAGCTGGATTATCTCAGGGAGAGCATGAGCCAAACTATTGTTTAAGACAAAATGTTAAAAATAAACATGGCACTTTTTCCATAATTTCAGTTAAATGTTTTTTAGTAATTTTTGTACAGACAATGTTTACCTGTGGAATGCATTTAGTGGGGTATCACAATAAAAGCAGGCATGATGTCCCTGACAGGAGGTATGTGATGTCATCTTACTATCGGTTTGTAATGTCGATTAATATTGGAATTGGAAATTAAGTGTTGAACAACATCAGCAAAAAGTCAATATCAAGCATCTCTAATTTGAACTCATTTCTAAAAGCATCCCTTCTTTAGGTCAGTGCTCTCATCTGGACTCTTAAAAACAGAAGTGGTGTTTTCCTCGGACTGGAGCTGCTTCATGGAGGTAATCAGTGTAGTTTCACGTTTTGTTTTCTTTTTAATTGCTCGTTCTTTTCTTATTCTTCTGACCTGGAGGTGACCACACG